CGAGTTCGACTAACATATCTTAAGTTCTAAGACGTGATAAATTGCCGAGTTGATTCTAGTATAACGGATACCTGTAGAATTTAGAGAAAATCCTAAGGTCGGAAACTCCAACATGTAGAATCAGCTGCTGCAGCCTTTTAACTTAGACGTTAAGATAAACGAAAACGAATCCGGTGACACTGTATATAAAGATTGATTAGGAAAAAAATAGGTCTGTTCTATCTTACGATAATATTTTGAGTCACGTAATATGTCCAAAAGTTGTCCAATAATAATAAATTTTGGTTTTGGACATTTTTGGACAGGATTTTGGACAGGAGTCTAAAATATCAAATTGTCCAATAATTCAACATTGATGTAGGAGGTAACACCTTAATACTCTGTTTAACGATTCCTATATATCAGATATTATAACTTTAAAAAAAAAAAAAAAAAAAGGCTACAAAATATTTTTAATACTAAATAAGAATAATAATATAAAATAATACCTACCCTAATTTATAATAATGTCCTTTGTCACTTTTTGCAAGATAAAGTCTCTAACTGAAATGGAAAAGTTTGAAAAATCATTTTTAAACTAAATAGTAAATTAAAAAAGTTAATTAGATTTAAAATATAAAAAAATATAAATATGTAACTTATACTATTAATAACACTTCTAATTTTATCTAGTGCTTATCCTAATACATATTTTCCTTTTTCACAAGTGATATTTAATCTATTATAGATATTTTTTTACAAGTTAAAAATTATTTTAATATAAATTCAAAATTATAAAAATGTAAAATTATTACTTACTCTATAAGTCTAATATGTATTATATGGTAAATTAAAAAAATCTTTTCAGTCTTCTTTAGGTTATTTTATTTTTTTTTATTAGTTTTATTCTTCTTTAGTAATAGGATTTTATATTAAATCATGTGAAAACTAGCAAATATTAATTAATATTAAGGTTATCACTCATATTTTTTAAAACATTTTATATATTTGCTGATGTATTAGTGATGCTTATAAGAGTATTTAAATAAGACATAAAAATTAGCATAGATAATGTTTGTTAATTTTGTATATTGATCATTATAGCAGCTTGCTGCAAAACTGTTGAATTTGCTAATAATTGAAGCAACAAAGCTACATTTAGAGTAGACTTTAAATTTTTCGTGGTATTTGTATTCTTATTCTTTTCTAAATTATTAGACATAGTCTATAAATAAAAATTATAGCATGAAATTGAAAGTTTCAAATATTTTTATAAAATAATATTTTCTAATTTCTTTAGCATAAAATTATCAATTATTAATGAAAATACTCACTTTTCTTATTTTATAAGAATTTTAAAGAAAGGTAAAAGGAAAAGTTACAAACAAATAATCAAAAAATAGTCTATTTAAATCAAATTATAATAATTATCATATCATTTACCATAATCTTTTAGTTTATATATAAAAAGTATTGTTAAAATTTCAATAAAAAAAAATTCTTAATCATATGTCAATTACATACTCATTTGTTCTTCAAATTCAGATTAGTTCATAATTTGACAGAAATTTATTCTTATAAATTATTTTATTTTTTGGTAATCATAATAAAATTTTTAATTTTAATATGAATTATTTTTTTATGAACTAGCTAGTTATTATGATTGTAGCAAAGAAAAATGTTTTGTGTATTTGTTTACTTTATTGATATGAAAGTAATAATTCTGACAAATATATAAATACTACCACTTGAACAAGATTTAGATGAAGAGAAAAAACATTTAATAATAATTATATACTAATCAATAGACCTACATATAATAGTAATATAATAGTTACTCATATTGGTAAAAATGAAAATCAAGATATCAACTCAGAAATGATAGAAGATCGTTTATACAATGATGATATTACAAGTCAAGAAGATGATTTAGCTATCAATCAAAATGAAATAATAAATGAAGATACTTTATACAATAATAGTAATACAAGTAATAGTAATGATAAAGAAGAAAGTAATAAAAAAGAATATTATAATGACTAAGATGATAATAATGAAAAAGATGATAATAATGGGTATTATGATGATAAGGAATATGATAATAATAAAAAGTGTGATAATTATGAGATAGGATGTGGCAATGAAGAGAAGATAATAATGGATTAGCTTAAAAAGAGTTTGGTAAGTAAATCTTATTTATTATATAATCATTTTAAAATCTGATATTAATTTATAGTAATTATTACTATTAGATTTATCAAATAATTTAATAAAAGGTTTTTAGCTTCTTTATATTAAAGAAAAATATATACTATTAGATAAAGCATTTAATAAATTATGACAATTTTTGGTATATTAGATGTTTCTCTTTATAAGCTTTAAAAAGCTTAAAAGCATTATTCTACTTAAACCAAAACTTGTAAACATATGTTAGAATTCATATTGTGTTTTTATTAGAAAAGATGCAAATTGTAATAATGCTCTATATATGAAGAATCACGGTATGTATCTGGAAGAATACCAAAACAACTCTAAAAGTTATCTGCATATTTTTTTATAATTGATAGTTTAAGAATGCAATATAAAGACCCATCTTGAGCTATGATTCTCTGATACAGATATGAATATATATCAAGTGAAGCTACATAACTAATAGTGATAAAATTGAAGATATGTTTAATAGCAACTGGTACAAGATTTTGTCTTATTTTCTGATTATTGAGATATTGCTTTAATTGCATCAAAAAATGGCTACCAGTTATTTAGACAGAAATAGAATGATTGCTAAATTGTTCTACTTTTAAATATGAACCTTCCACCATCTCAGAGAGTAAAAAAAGAAAACTTAATGATTACTGCAGTGATCCCAAGACTAAAATCTTTAAATAACTTAAATAATTTATTATAATCACTAGTAGATAAGCTAAAGCAACTTAATATAAGCTTTACTCTAATATATAAAATGTATTTTATATTATTGATAGATGATCTTATGTTTTTTTATTCATTAAGTAATGAAAACTAATTTATTATTATAATAAATTTTTAGCTAGTATAACATATTATGATGTAGTATTACAAGAGACATTTATATTATGAAGCTATTCTGTCATAGTCTGATGATATTCTTACCCTATTTAAAATCATATGTTTCTCTAACCATAATACTTACTATAAGTGTTGATATTATTATTTATATAGAACACTTTAACTACTACAAGAATGTGATAAAACTAATTATGATCTAAACAATTTGTCAATGCGTTTTTACATTAGTCATCTTCAAGATATTGAAGCAAAGGAGAATAAAGAAGGAAGTAGAAATAAAACAACAAATGAGCAAGGTAAGCTTTGATGCTTTTCTTTCATATAATCATAGAATATTTATATATTGATTAATACAATATTTTTGATAGATACAAATGGTCATAATATCTTATTGGAGTTGCATTTAATAAATTTTCCTGCATCATTTACAGTAGATATCATGCATGCATTCTTTGAAAACATAGCTTCATATATATTTTGTCATTTTATTGAAAAGTATTTTAAGAATAAAATCTTAATGATACTGATTATAAAAGCTCATCCAGTAACTGAAAAAATTACTCAAATAATTGAACAAAATCAGACAATTATGCTAATGGGATTTGGAAGACCCTCTATTAATATTCAAAAACACTACTTTGCTTTCAAAACTGAAGATTGGTATTATTGGATAGTCTTATATTTACTTCTATTTTTCCATAATTAATTACCTACAAGGTATTTTATTTTCTAATTTAAGTAATTTTTTTCTATAATATTTATTAAACTTAATTCAAATTTTTATAGATATGTAAATGGGTAAGCAAAATTTATAAGGGTAACTCAACTATGTCTTGAATCAACTATTTTTAAAAAAACTTGAAAAAATTTAAACACTTTTTATTAGATTTATTAATTATTATGAGAAGTAATATTTTTTATTATATTATTTCATATAATCTTTTTTTGCATTTATTAATAAATATTACTATTAATATTTTAAAATAAAATAACTTAGTGAATATTATCAAAGAGATTCTGAGTGACTTCCAGCTGTTCATATCAGCTTCTACTTATAATGAATTAAATTCAAGAAACAGGTTCGCTATAGGCAATATAGCAATTTTCAATGGAAAGGCTATGTAGAATGTTAATACCTTTAGTTAATTCACAACAGCATTTATATATAAATTTTATAAATCAGATAATCATGTGAATATGATTTGCACACTTGCAATACTATACTGAATATAATCAGAAGGTTTTGATAGAAAAAATAGGATTACATTTAGATAAAACTTTGTATTAATCGGGTTATGTTATTAAATATAATCAGGTTGTTTAAAATCAAATTTTTGATTTTCAGAGTACAATCAAAGCATTTTCAATTTAACTATAAAATCAGATTATTTTCAAATTTATTCAGAATATTTCTAGCAAATTTTTTATCATATTAAATTCTTAAATTTTGACTAAAACATCATTTACAATGTAATCAGAACATTCTTAATGATATTTAAGGCATTTTAAAAATTTCTGAAAAATAATTAGAATACATTGAATAAAAATATTTTATAAGGCATTTCTGATAATACATTCACAGGTTATGGTATACAATAATTCGTTATTGAATTTAAAATTAGAGGATTTAAAACTTTATTTTTTACTACGATAACTAGAAATACTAAGACAAAGATAATCAGCTTCAGAAAGTTAAAAAGCTAACTTTGATTATATTTCTAAATAAAGGTTTACTTTATCCAAAACTCTAAATATTTAGAGGAAAAATTAAATGATTTGAACTTTTTTTTTGTTAGCCTTAATTTTAAACTTTGCAATTATAATGTTATGCTTAACGTTGACATTAACTGGATAATCTGCATGTATCCTATATTAAAAGGCACAAGTATTAAATAACAATTGATTTGATAACTGAAAAAATGCAAATTGACATAATTTACATTCTTAGTAGATCAATATTCACTTCAAATTTTGTGAAGAGATTATTTACAATCTCTGTACCAGTGATAGTTCGATCATCATCAGTAATATCAATTTGTACTTAGTTTTTTTGTTGAATTTTTGAGGTATATATTTTAACTATATAAAATCTATTACAAAGAGATTTAGTTATACGCAATATCAAATAATACAAGATATTAACTAATATAAACCCTTTATTGTTATCATATAATGTATATTAGAACTTATTTAGCAAAAACTGTTTTACAGGTTTTGATTTATCTTTATCAATTTGTAAAGAAAGACTAGCAGATGATGTATTAGAAGGAAAAACCATAAACAGAAAAGATAGAGAATGTGTTTTTGACCCCTAAAAAACAAAAATAAATAAAATATCAAAGTATATATAATGTAACCAGTTTATCTAAAAGAAAACTTATAATAATATAATCAACTGTTATCTTAAACTTGAAATATGTTAAATCAAAAAATCTGATTATATAATAATTTAGTCTTATGAAGATTTTATCTTTCATTTCATTGAAAAATCTTAATGCATCATAATGTGTACTAAAATGCACATGTTCTATCTATTCACTTGTTTCTTCAAGATATGTTCGAAGCATAATGGAGTAGCTTCCTGCAATCACGATTCTAGTTCTTTATATCATAAACCTTCAATTTTTTCTACTATAAGAACTGATAATTCTGGCTTTTCACAACATATTCGTTTTTTATAAGATGGTAAATCTATAATAGTAAATAAATATTTAAATACAATATGAATTAACACTCTCTTATGTAAATAAAGGAGAGGTCAATAACAGATACACATTATGTAGACGAGAAGTACTGCACACCTATATACCGGATAGCGGACCCTCATTTCTCAGAAGGTTGATAACGTCATACAAACAAAAGGCATTCACTTCAGAAAAACTGAAGAAAGTTACATATCCATTATGTCAGACGGCAAATCTTCATTTCTCAGAAGGTTGATAACGTCATATAAACGAAAGGCATTCACTTCAGAAAAACTGAAGGAAATTGCATATCCATTGTGTTAGATGGCAAATCTTCATTTCTCAAAGGTTAACTATTGATACTGTACGCTTATGTACCAGATGGCAGATTCTTATTTTTCAAAAGATTGACAATGATTCTTTAAATTCTACAAACGAATACAATAAAAAATCATACTATTTCTTGTCCTATTATCATCCATAATTAAATACTAGATAAATATATAAACAAATTGGTTAAAAAAACCTTTAATAAAAGGAGTAAATCTAGTAGGATAAATGTTTTATACTATACTCAAGTTGTTTGGTACAATAAAGAAATAAAAGATGTGGTGTTAGAGTTGAAGAAGTGTTTTGATTTAAAGATCAATTAAATTATGCATCTATTTATTATGCAAATTGACGACAACTTGTGATTTATCATCACTCTAACATACACATAACCACATTATATCTTTGAACTACCCTACTTTTAATCTCTTCTTCTATAATAAAAATTATTAATTTCAAAAAAAAAAAATAAAGATAAAATATTTATTACATTACCATTATTTCAAAAAATTGAAAATCTTTGATTAAATAATTTGAAAAATCTTTGTCATCTTTTAACATATTTATTCCTATATATTCAAATAATTTAATAGCATGAAAAATATTGAAAAATCTGGTTAAATACATGAACAAAAAAAAAAAAAATTTTTTAAAAAATAATAAAGAAAAAATATATTATAATTATTATTATTTACCCTTCTTTGAAGGTATACTTATTCCTTTTGATCATTCAAAATAAATTTCAATTAATACAGGTTGATTAATCATTTGTCTACAAATCATATAAATTAATTTAACTAATCCTTGCTTAAGAAAATTATCTTTTTTAGTATCTAATTCATATGATATTAATATTAATCTTTGTAAAGGTGATGATATTTCTAATGTGTTTAAAAGTTTTAGTGGAACATTAAGTATGAAACGTGTAAAAAATTTTAGTATTTAAATGATCATTCCTTTCAGAACCTATAATTTTTTTTTTAAAAACAAACAATTTTTAGGAAGCAAGAGAGAAAAAGAGAAAGAGTTATATAATCTACTTACATCATTTTAAGCGTATTTTACTAAATCTCTTAATACATTATTATCTAATATGAATTCAATACATTTCCTTTGCACCTTATTCTCATCATATATGTAACCAGCATTGAAACTGTGACAAATTCTTATTTGTATTTCTTCTTCTTTAATCATTCTAATTATATTTTCCAAATTTCCTGGAATCTTTGTTGAATTTACATACATCAAGTTACTTTTCTTTACAATTGGTTTATTTAATAAATTAGAAAAGAAAATTAAGCAAAATTAATTTAGCATACATCACAATATGATATATGTTAATCTAAAAAATTAACTATATTTTTTCTAGTTACCTTTGCACCTTATTGTGGAAATACCATTATAATAATTTTTTATAGATTTCCACTCTTCTTGCAATTCTTCATCTTTAGATTTAATATGTGGTGCTATAATTTCAATTGCATGATTAATTATCCTTGTTAAAAACATGTTTCTATATTTACAATTGTGATAATGGATTATTTAATCGATCCTTGAAATTTTTGGATTTGATTCTTGAAAAAATATTATTTTTTTTAAAAAAAAATTAAAAAGATGTATGATTATTTTTAAAAGAGAAAAACTCATCGAATTGATGCAAATAATAATAATTTGAAGAACTCTAAGAATGAACCGTTTCTTTTTGCATACGTTCAGTACATGCCCAAAAAGTCAAATATTTAAATTGTTTCAAAGATTCTAATTATTTGTTAACCGATAATTTTGGTGAGATGACTCGGTTTAATCACTTCATTTCCGATAACAATTACGATAAAAATAAATAAAGAACGTGTGTAATGTATTATTTTCTAAACTTTTTTAATATAGAGATCTTTAGTTCTATGGGGTTTGCCGTAGAAAATAAAAATCAAATGTTTTTTAAGTGAAATGCTAGTTTATAAATATCGTAGCACATAAGGATACATACAGATTTGTACCACTAATTTTTGGTATAAATATTTTTTCCTTTTCGCAATACTTGATTTCAATTCGGTATGGATTATTTAAAATCATTTTCTAGGGTTGTATTAGGCAAAGATATACCCTCCTTTCCTTACAATATTGGAGAAAAAATTGAATCATTTGAGGGCCTTTCAATATGGTCTTTACATAATGGAACTAAAAAGGTAATGAATTCTCGGATTTATATTTTTAATTATTTGATTAATTTGATGGTTGATCTTTTTTTATCAATTTAGGATGGCGGAAGTTCTGTATCTGTTTTCACTTTTGATTGTAACAAACAGAAAGAAAAGATACAATTAGCAAAGAATGCATTTAAAAAATTTCGCACAATTCGACATCCAGATTTATTGAGATATTTAGATGGTGTTGAGGTAAAAGGAATTTGATATTTGGGATTTTACACGTAAATTTAATGATTTAGCATCCCAATTTTCGGTTTTGCTTATTATTGATTTTTAAAAGACAGATACTTTCATTTATATCGTGACAGAATATGTTTCGCCTTTAAAAAATCAGTTAAGATTTCATGAAGATAATAATTTGAAATTATGGGGATTATATAAAGTTGGAGTAAGTGATTATCTAATCTGAATTACCTGATTTATTTGTCTTAAATCTTTAATCTTCTTTTCATGTTTAGAGTGCGTTGAAATTTTTGAATGATGATTGTTCAATAATTCACGGTAATGTTCGAATTTCTTCGATATTTACCAACAAAGCCGGGGAATGGTTGTTAGCAGGATTTGAACTTATGAGTTCTATGAAGGAAGAAAGCCCAGTAATTTATGTAAGTAATATATAAGTTCTACTATATATCTTTGTCATCGACTTATTTAATTCTTTCTTTACCAGACGTTTGGTAGTTTAGTTGTTGAATCGACTAAATACGCATCCCCGGAAGTTTTAAAAAGTTCATGGAATGTTTTGAAAGAGTAAGACTTGTTTCAAAATTTTTAGTCCATGTATATATACACTTATATATATCCCTCTTTTTTTAATAATAATATCATTTCATGTTTCTTCATAATTCAGCCAAGAGATTTGGGTGATTGATTCTTGGAACTATGGAATTTTGATATATGAAGTTTATAATGGTGAATTCACATCAGCAAAACAATTAGATAATATAAATTTAATTCCACAGGTTTCAATACTTTAAAGAAAAATGATTATTCTCATTATTAGAATTAATTTCTAAATAATTTATTTTTCTTAGAATATGCGTGATCAATATAGTCAGTTGGTTGCTACTAATCCTAAGCTAAGACTTAGTATCTCTTCTTTTATTGAAGATGGGCTGAAGCCCGGTGGAATTTTCCAAAATGATCTAGTTCAAATTAATTTGTTTTTAGATAATATGAATATCAAAGAATCTAGAGAGAAAGAAATGTTCTTTAAGCATGTTTATAATTTTATTTAATTTATTTTATCTTATTTACAAAAGTTTCATTGTAATTAATTTCAAATCAAATTTTTTTTTTAAAAAAAAAAATTCTATATATATAGAAAGTTGAACAATTGCATTGACAATTTCCCAGAGAATATTTGTAAGTACAAAATACTACCTGAACTTATTAATGCTTTAGAATATGGGTCAGGTAAGTAAAAATTGAAATAATTAAACTACTATTCTAGAATGTCTGTATCAATTTTAAATCAATTTGTATAATATAGGAGGTGCAAGAGTATTGCCACCTATAATAAAGATAGGAAACACTCTTGATGATACAGAATATGAACAATTGATCATAACAGCGATTATAAAAATGTTTGCTGTACCTGATAGAACAATTCGTTTGAGTCTATTAGAAAATTTGGGATCTTTTATTGATAAATTAAGTAATAAGGTTATCAATGATCAAATATTTCAACACATGGTGAGTTAAAATAAAAATGTTTCTGATAAATTATAAAGTGTATATATTATCATCATCATCAAGTTTCTTTTTATTTTGTTATAGGCAACAGGATTTACAGATACTGCACCTATTATAAGAGAAAGCACTGTCAAATCTATTCTTTTGATTGTTTCAAAGGTACGATTAATTAAAACATATATTATTGAAACTTTGTAACTTGCTTTGTATTTATATTTATATTCACATTTTTCTTTTCACATTTTTTTATATTTAGTTATCTGATCGTATTATTAACAATGATTTATTAAAATATCTGGCCAAATTACAAATGGACGAAGAACCAGGAATAAGGACAAATACTACAATTTGTCTTGGAAAAATAAGTAAATATTTGAATGATAGTGTGAGTAATCATATTTATTTAATTAAAACACCATTTTACTTTAATATTAAGGTGTATTCTCTTTAATATAATTTAAGACAAAGAAGAAAGTGCTTGTGCCTGCCTTTACGAGAACATTGCGAGACCCGTTCCCGCATGCTAGAGTCGCGAGTTTGATGGCTTTGGCTGGTAATGATATTAAATTTTTTTTTTTAATTAATTTAATAAGAATTTATTTATTCAACTTTTGATATCGATTTATAGCAACGTCAGAATATTATGATGCAACTGATTGTGCAACCAAGTTATTACCTTGCGTGTCATTAGTATTGGTAGACAAAGAAAGGTCGGTTTTGGCATTTTCCTTTTTGAATCGTAAATTTTACTTAATACTTTTATTGAACAGGCCTGTTCGAACACAAGCTTTCAAAACTGCCGAGACATTTATAAAGCGATTAGAGAAATTGACCGAGTCAATGGTGAATATTCATTATATTTTTTTTTCAAATACATTTAAACTATTTCACGTGAAGAAATATTAACTTATTATTATATTTATAGCCCGATACAGCTATACCTGACCCAAATTCCACCGAAAATTCGTCGTCGTTAGCTGTCGCGGGTAGTGTTGCTGGAGCCGCAGCTAGTGTTGCGGAAAGTTGGGCAGGATGGGCAGTCACATCTATAACAAAAAAGGTAAGCCTTATCTCTGAAGGCTTTATTTATTTGTTTATTTATTAAGCCGAATTACTTACATTATTTGTTTGAAAGATTGCTGGATCAGGAATGGAAGGTGAAATTACTGCACCTACAAGTGTGACAGTTGATGCGCCATCTACACCTACAAAAGATAAAATGGGAAGTGAACACTTGTCTCCAAGTTTAAGCACAAAAAATGCTTTTCTCGTGGACCAAGCTGATCCCGATACTTCAAATGGATGGGAGAATGAAGATCATTTGGTTACCGTTGATAATTTAACCAAGAATGATTGGGGTAAGAAATAATCAACCCATTTAACGTTATTATTGTATTTTTATTTATCCTAATTCATTTTTATTATTATTCAAACTTCCATTATAGAATTACAATCTTCATCTTCACAACAATCTTCTCATTCAACTTCAACATCAAATAAATTTAGTATGAATTCTGCATCGTCAGCAATGAAATTAGGAGGAACAAAATGTGGGTTTAAAAATACCTTGTACTATTATCTTCTTATCTTATATATAGCTAATTGTGTTTTCCTTTAGCGCATCTTACAGATGGATGGGATTTGGATGATTCAGATTGGGGTAATGGTGATGGATGGGATAATAATTGGAATAGCTCACGGCCATTATCGACTGCTTCAAGCAAATCAACAAGTTCTATACATAAATCTCCAACCACTTCTAATGTATTATCGAAAGAGGAAAAGGCTGTCGAACTTAATAAAAAGAGAGAGGAGAGAAAACAAGTAATTTATATTCATTATTATTATTATTATTATTATTGATATTTTGTCATCATTTTAAAAATCTATGTTCATTACAGAGAATGGCAGAATTAAGAGAACAAAAGAAAAAGAGTAATGGACTCGGTGCTAAAAAAATATAATATTAAAGAAATAGTAATATTTACATAAAAGTTTACTGGTTAATTTATTTATTTTTTAAATAAAATAATAAAAGGAGGGATTTAATAAATTAATTTTTAGATTATTAGATAATTTTTTTCCCTTATATCATATTAATTTTTTTATTACATAATCTTGATAATTATCATCTTAAAATTAGTGAAATTTATTAAAATAAATCAAATCAAATATTGAAATTTGATTTGATTTTTTAAAATAAATTATTAATTTAAATATTTAATTAGCCAATATTTTTTTTTTCAATACCCATTATATTTTTAAACTAAAGTATTACAAATCGTATGTTATATAATGTTATATTTAGGGTTAGTTCTAAAAAATCGTTTTTATGTTTCTGTTAATAATGTAATTTATATATTATATTATTTTTATATTAATATAGTTGATAAATCTTTTTATTATAATATTTAATTAATATATTTTTTTTTAATAAAGTTATTATGATAATATTGTAATTTAAATAAATATAAGTTATATAATAAGTTGATAATAAATAGAATAAATTGATTAGTTATTTATAGTTTTATAGTAAATTTAATTATTATAAAAAAATGTTAAAAGATTTTTATTTTAGAATGTTTTTATCAAAAATTATGAAGATTAAATCCTGATATTCTATATGATCTTTTATATTCTAGAAGCATATTTTGATCTGTCATAGATATTAAATGATCAAGATAAGATATTTCAAGTATGATGTCTATTAAGAGCAACATAAGCTTATCTAAAAAAAAAAAATTGATAAATTGAAAGATTAAAATTTATTATTAGATATAGAAAATATATTACAAATCATTCTATTTATTTGTTAAACATTTTCTTTAAAACCTACAATATTAGTAATATTAAAAAGAATATCAATTATAAGATATATTAAAGGTTTAAATATTGTTGTTGAAAGATTTTATTAAGTTTTAAAAGTAATATTACCTATTCAGATTTCTTGTAAAATTTGATAAAATTATTATCAGTTTGTTAATGTTAAGAAGTTTTTAAATAAAGATAAAATAAGACTAATTAGCTGCACAAAATACTAATTGAGATAGATGTGCAAAATTACTAATAACTATAATATTTATGTTATCAAATATAATAATATTATTTTTAAAATTTACAAATATATTTGAAATAAAATCAAAAAGTTTATTAAATATCATAAATATTTTATTTATTATTATAGTATTGATTTTTTTAATAATGTGATATTACCAGTAACTTTGTTAAATTTATATAAAAAAAAAAATATAAAGTAAATTAAATAAATTTAATTTAAATATTAGCTATTCTTTATAATTATATTACAAATCTATTTGAATTGACCAATCATCATTTTTCTTCTCTAACAATCTTACTAAATACATAGCTAATAAAAATTACTATCTACAAAAAAAAAATGATGAGAAATGAAACCTCTTAATAACAATCAAATTTTATATAAAACTATATTAAAATTATAAGAAGAGATATAATAAAACTCTTTTAATATGATAAAAGCTAAAACTGTCAAAATATATTAAAAATATAGTAAAGAGTATGATGAAATTATTTTGAGAAGATTTCAGCAGATATTTATAATAAGAAAAGAAAAAGAAAGAGAGTATCTATCTAAATATCTAAAAATACATAATTAAATTTATTTATCAGAAATATTCAAAGTTTCTAAAATGTAATAAAATCAATATTCTTCATATATCAAGTAAAATCTAGTATTTTGTTTAAGCTTATCTTCTTTAATAATACCTAATAACTATTTTTTTTCAATTATTAACTTTTAACAGTATTTATAAACCCTTTCAAAAAGATTATTATAAAATAATATAATTGATTGTATAATAATAGATAGATAAAGATTCTTATTTCTAATAATTTTGTGAATAAGATCAATAAGTAAAAAAGGAATAATAATTAAATAATATTGATATATCTATCAGACTTAAATAAAGAAGTAATAAAAATATTATTCAAGAGAGCAAGAAAAGTAAAGAGATAAGTTGTGAACTTTGAGTTATCTAAATTATTAAGTTGTTCTAGTAAATCATTTTTAGTTAATTGAATCATATTATAATTTTGAGAAATAAGCAAAATATTTTCAAAGATATGAGAAAATTTTAGTAGTTATATTGTAACCTATATAATAATAATATTCATAAAAATCAAGATATAATAAGGATAATTGTGAAAGGATTAACAATTCATTAATAAAATTCTTAAAATAAAAGTTTTGAAGTTGAAGAAGACAAAAGATGTAATAAGAGAAAAAGAATTTGAGAATAATAGAGATCAAATAGTAAACCAATTAATAGTTAAATTGTTTATAAAGAATCTAAAATAGTAATTTTTATTAAAGTCAAAAAAATTACTAAAGGTTTGTGTTAAAAAAGTTATTTAAAAAGTCTTAAATAGATATTTTAATAGGTATATTATTAAATACAAAATAAAAATCAAAAAGTAAAATACAGAGATAAGAGGAGGTGTATTATAGCTATTTTTAGCTAGTTGGTCAGCAATTTTATTATACAAAAGGTTATTAAAGTTTCTAAATGCTATTTTTAAAATATGATTAATATATAAAAAAGATAATATTTATATTTGTTTATTTGTTTATTTTGCTTTAAATAACATTTTAATATAAAATTTCCCTTTTCATTTTTTTGCAACTTATGACTTCTATTATAATAATAGAAAAAAATAACGAATTAACTGATATAATAATTTATTATTGTAAAAATGGTAATTCATATAATAAAATTGTAAAAACTGTTAGATGTAAAAAAAACAACAGTTACATCTGATTGATATAATATAATATAATTATTTTAAATATTTGATAACAAATAAAAAAGTATAAAATTGATAATTATATGTTTTTAGAATAAGAAAACTTTAGAAAAAAAAAACAAATTAAGACATTTTAAAAATAATCATTTATCATACTCTTCACTCACTTGAACTGAAAAATTATGTTATAAAATGAAAACCTCTCATTTTGTCAACAAATAAAGAATATAACTTATATGATACTTAGAATATGATAGATAAATAAAATGATTAGGTAAAAGTTTTATGAAATGATAAATTACTTTTATCCAATTTTAGCAAAGTTAAATTAATAGAGTATAAAGAGAATCAGAAGGTAAATGATCACCTTTTGTATTTTAGCTATGATTAAACATAGCTAAATATGAGTATCAAAACTAAAACTTTTTGAAACTTTTTAGGTTTTGATACATAATAAAACCTAATTTTAAAAGTGCATTTATTTTTCTAAAACCCAAAACCTAAAATCTGATTTTGAAACTTATAAACTGAAATATGCTAAAACTTATTTTATTGTTTTATAAATTTATTATATTATTCCTAATATAATTTCATTATATTATTAATTATATTAATCAAACACAAATTAACTAATTAATTATTAATAAAACCTTGAACCAAATAAATCTGGATTAAAATCTTTTTTTTATTCAATTCCTAAATAAATTTATCAAGTTCATCAATTTCTAATTATTTATTCTTTACTGTCTTATTCCTAAATATTAATTTCAAATTAAGTATTTTTGAAATCTCTAATTCTTGAAAATGGAATTTACTCATTATCATCAAATAAACATGTCATAATTATTTTTTCCATTTGCTTCTTATTATTTTCCTCTATTTCATATTTTTCAATATAATAATGAGTATCATTTAAAGTAATATAAATTTTATCAGTTATTTGATCTTTATTATAATTATTTAATTTAGTAATATAATACAAATGGATTTTTGATATAGCCTCTAAATTTTTTATTAATAATTATATTTTTCTTTTTCTAGTTATCCATCTATAAATTAATCAAATTCGTTTATAGTTAATCACATGATAAATAATAAAAAATAATTTTTTGCAAGTAATTATATATAAGGTAAAATAGGTTTACATATTTTCTATCAGCTAAGAAGAGTATTTACTTGAGAATAATATGGTGATTTGTATGATTTCGCTTGAAGATAAAATTTACCAATTTATGCTAAAAAAGTTTTTGCAGACTGTTTTTTTAAATGGTTATATTTTTTAAGGTAAGCAGAAATATCAGAAATTTTTAATATTTATTACCAAATATGTGCAGCTATATTTTAAATTCTTTGATAATACACTTCTTTTACACTAATACCTATTTATTAATAAAGTTAATAATTTAAAAAATTTGTATTATTATATCAAATAAATTTAAATATCAAATTTTATACTTTTATATTTAAGATAAATATAATATATTAAGAAATATTCATTAAAGTCATATAATATAAAATGTTCATTAAAAATCTTTATTACATGCTAATAAAATATCATGTGATTATCTTCAAATATTTTATTAATTGATTGACTAAGATATGCTAAGGAGAAATAATAATTAGCCAGGATTGCTTTATTACTTTTAAGAATTAAAAATAGTTTCTTTAATAAGTTTCATAATATTGGTCAAACCACAAATATCATTAAAAAATTCTCTGTTTTAATTAATAATTATTTTAATAGCTTCACTTATAATAATGTTAGAATTTTCATTAATAATTTCTTTAAGATAAATTTCTAGTTGAGAAATTAATTCTAATTTTTCATATACTATTGTCTATTAAGTATCCAAATAAGTTTTTAATCCTTTACCTATTATATTTTTTTTCTGAAATTTTTAAATCTAATAATTCTATTAGTTTATATGATTTTTTAAAATAAGTAACAATTACTGTATACCAGTGTGTAAAATTCATGTGCACAATATGCACATTAAATTTTTATGTGCACATATTACACAGTATAAAATGTGCACAAATAATTACTAAAAATAGATAAATTATATATAAAAATGGATAAATTATTTATAAAAATGGAAA